CGGCCCGCGGCCCGCGGCCCGCGGACGGTGGCCGCGCCTCCAGGGCAAAAAAAAGACTATACCCCATATCGTTGGTACAGTGTCCGCAGGGGAGGAGCGACACATGAATTTCGCCAGTCAGGAAAGATGGGGCAAGTCAGCTTGCGTGGCCGCTGGAATTCACAGAAGACTGCCAAGATATACGTTTGTGAAGGGGTTGCTCAGCTGACCGAAATGCAACTTCCTGCTGCAAAGAAGCGTAAGCTACAGGCATTGGCCTTAAAGGCACGCCCTTCTTGGAAGGCATATTTTTGAATATGTTTTCCTTTTCCCCCCCCACTGCCGCCTTTTTTTTCTCTTGTCCATCCTTTCCCTTCTCGCTTGAGCGGCTACGATTTCTTGTGGGCACATGCCCAGTAACTGGGAAGGGGCCAGGCAAAGTCTCTTGCCATTGGGCTCCTTTGGGGGGGGGGTCTGGCCAGGATGGGCGCTGGTGCTCCGATGGTGGCCTAGGCACTGCGTCTCTAATTTTGCGGGTGCATGGCGGTCAAACTGACCGCCCCTTGCGGGATTGGTCTTGCAGTGTCTGGTGTCGGTTTGCACGAGTGTGTAGTTTGAGTTTCATTTTACACAAACGCCTTCTAGCGCAGCTGATGCTGCAAAAGGTACGAATGCGCGTGCAGGAGCACTAGCAGTGTTTCAGCCCTGCAGACAAGAAACTCACATACCATAACGGAGAGATCTGCCCCTTGCTTTACTTGGTGCAGGGGCAAGCGAAAGCAAACATGCAGGCAGACTTGTATGCGCCGCAAGCCCCAGTTGTGACTAGAGCTCTCTGGAAATGGCGGCGTGCTTGCCCAAGTAAAAAAACAGCTACAAGTTAGCTTCAAAACTTGAGATTGTAGCATCGCCGGGCAGACCGAAGGCATGTCAAGTGAAACCAAAGAAAGGGAATAGATGCACCGCAAAATGCTGCTGGCGGGCCAAAACATCTGTACAACAGCTGGAGACACTTCACTGCAGGTAGAGCTGTGAGGGCTGTGCACCGCGCACCGAGTCCATGATTCAAAGCAGCTATAAGTCACCCAAATTCCCCTATCCAAGCCTCCGAGCTCGCTTTCAGCGTTTCTAGCGCTTGATGGCAGCTGCCGATCTTCGTAAACCAGTGAGTGCACGTGGACCGCTGCGAGCTTCAGGCAGATGAGTTCAAAAGTCGGGCTGGTTATGGTCCCAACTTCGGTAATAGTGATACAAGCTCATGGAGCTCCAAAATTACAACACCTTTGCGGCCACCAATGGTGCCAATTTCCTCCTGTTTAGCACTTCCAGATCAATTAGGCATGCCGCCTTCACTATTTTGGTTGATGTCGCTTTTGACACCGACTTTGCGACCTGGACCTTCTCAGGGCAAAAGGATCCGCATATCCAGTTCTATTTCCGATGTCCAGCTTTGTCAGATGGCGCATGTCTCAGGGCGGTGAGCAACTTTTACTCTTTAGCGCCTTGTTGATGCCAGGAAGCCAGGTGTTCAGCTCTTTCTGAACTTGGGTTTGATTTGCCCCACCCCGGCTAGGAGCAGAAAAGCCTTTGGCCATGAGCATTTGCACACCGTATCTGTGACCGAAAGTGTGGTCAAGCAAGCTTTCGTATGATGTAATTGGCGGGGTCTGGGACTGCAACAGCAGTCTGCAGAAATCCCTGTGAAGGCCGGCGGGAGCAACTTGTGAGCATTGTGAAGCAGGACGCTTTTGGACCAGCAGCGTCTTGCAATGTCGATGCGGGGCAAAGGAGCACTCTTGCTACCGCCACCTGTACATCCTGCTCGTGAGAGGGGCCGGCCGCGAGGCCAGCCAGTGCGTTCGAAGCTGCCAGATTGCTTTGACATGACCCCTGAGGTAGGATACATCATGTACCAAGTGCACAAGGGCAAAAGGACCAAAATTCATCCTGCCATAGACCATAGAACTCCGAGCTTGCTCATTGCGACACCTTCCGTTGTCAGGAAGGATGCTATTCCTTCAGCGTATGTGGAGGCCTTTGCCTCAGTTCCAGAGTGAGGCAGATTGGAGCGTGCAGAGGCATGTGTTCGTCCTTCAAAGCTGCCCAAGGTCAAGCAGATCTTTGTCGAACCAGACATGCGCAAGCGCGGATTTGGCAAGCTTCTGGTAGATGGCATGATGCAGGCAGCGGCAGAACGTGACATGAAGAGCCAGCAGCGCCCCTGCTAGCTTGTCTTGGATAGGGTGACTATGTGTGTGACGCAGGTCCAGTGTCGCCAGAGAGGGTGGTGATCCCTTCAACATTACCAATTACTTGAAAGCATTGTTTAGAGAGTGCTCTTTAGGTCTGAACTATGATGGCTTGTTTTCAGAGACTGCCCATTCCTGACTACTCTGGAGCGAGCAGCAAATGACTGAGCAGGCCCTTGAAGGGCAGGACATCCGGAGCATCCGCCTTAGTGCTCAGTCCTCAGCTGAGAAGAGCAATTAACTTCAATTCAACTTTACTTGTTAAACTTTGAGGTACTTGACCTGAATGATGCTGCCACCAAATGGTGCAGGGCACAGCTTCCTTGCAGGTTTCATGCAGTGGCTGCCAGCGGATCTGAAGGTACCGGGCGCAAGGCTTTGTCATGACTGGCCTGGTTTGGGAATACATCGGTCCGGCTGACCACTCGTTGCTGGTTGCCTACCAGGCCTTCAGTCAAGCCAGTGTCAAGTGCTTCTGTTTCGGCAATACAGTCTCTTGACTTGGTTTGTAAACCAGATTATGCAAAAGCCTTCGCCTTCTGCTGCACTGCAAGAAGATCAACCAGCTATGCTGGCCACCGAGACCTGCTTTTCGGAGGACATATCTATAGCGGGGTTGTGCAGGGCTGTCTTTGCCAGGCGGGCATGTCTCATGCAATGGTAGTGCCAAGGACAGTTGGTGTCACTTTCTTCCGATCCGAGATAGTTGGTGAGGCCTGCAGAGCATTGCCACTTTCTTGGGACATCCCTGCAAAGTCCGGAAGGTAGTCACCGTGGTATATCCAGACAGCTCTGGCCCTTTTGAGGCGGAGTGCCCCGCTTTCACGTGACCTGTGGAAAGCTTCAGGCTGCAGCTGTCATGATCAGGTTGTCATTAGAGGCTGGTTAGAGCAAGGCCCTTAAAACCTCAAGGCTCAAGGCTGTTCTTCCTTGGCTTGACCTCCTGTCTTGCCTGGCTTGTGCGCTTTGAGGTCTGACCAGCTGCACATGGTCGACTCCAGAAATTTCTCTGCTTGGAAGGCTCTTTCGGCAACTTTGAAGCCAGGGCGATCGCTTCTGTGACAGGGACAGAGCTTCACTGATCTGTTCGACATCAATTTGGCTTTGCGTGATGGCCGGGCCACCTTCCGCAGGAGATGCAGAAAATATTTGACGTTTTAGACTTCTTCTATCCTGTGTAGATGAGATGTTAAAGTGCAGTCTCTCACATTGAAGGAAGCTATCACTCATCTTGCGAGACGTTGAGATGACCAAGTCCATCGAGAAGCAGGTCAAGGCTTGGCTTGGGAAAGCAGCTTTACGAATGCCACATCCAAAACAAACGCGACAAAGCTGCAGGAGAGGGAGAAGGAACAAAGAGCTTCCAAAGTGAAGAAGGAGTGTTCTTGGGCGCGGGTGCGCATTAACAACTGTGCAGGATCAACAAGCATTCTTCAGGATCAGCCAAATCTATTCAGGCGCACAAGGAAGTTAATGCGGTATCGAAAAAATGATATTCCTTCCGAATTTGCATCAGCATCCGTATCAAGGTGATTTTCAGGAGAAGTGCTCATGTTCGCATCAGCATTTGGATTAGTCTTACTAGTGGTACGTATTCGCGTAAGAACTAATGCTGGTATCAGGTTGCGCCCGGCATTTATCCTTTGACTGAAGCCTTTGACTGAAGCCGCAGATGTTTACCTTGGTTTTGTCTCTGTTGCATGTTGACATTTTGGCTGTAGGACATGACGCTAGTATGTGATGTGATAGGCAGTTTTTGTGCTGAGGTTTGGAAGTCTTCGTTTGATGTTGGGGATGCAAACATGTTTTATGTTGAGGGTTGCAGCCATTTAATCTATTTATTATGCAGGTATAGCAGCTTACCTTTTGTAATACAATGGCAGTGCATGTCCTCCACCTTTGGGTTTGGGGCACTTGGGGGTTGCATCTTTTCTTGAGTCTTTTGTCCGCATGCAGCTCTGTGCTGCGCTGTTGCGGCGGACCTGCTTTTGTCGCCTTTGATGCGTGAAAAGCCAGAGTGCAAGCCGATGTGGAGGAATTGTGATGCTCTGATTTTTTTGAGATCTGAGGGAGTACGCTTTTCTTCTCTTTGCATTAAATTCTTCATGGGAAACCATATTTGAATTCATGAATCAAGCTCCTGCAAGTTGGGGGGAGCAGAGATGCGAGTGTTTGGCCGGCAAACTGAAGCAGTCTTCGCGAAGCCGGAACTTGCTTAAAGGTGGGGAAAACCTCCGCTACATTAGTTTTTTGTTTTTTTAACACCCTGTTCCGGCTGCACTGAATGTCCCGCTGCTGTGACTAGTGGCCAGCCGCAGCTAGCCGATTCAGCACGGCAACCGGCTGTCAGTCGGAGGCCCTCAACCCGCCAAAAGGTCGGTCAATAGGACCTCCACCCAGAGGGTCGGCGGGCTACACGGCCACAGGCAGCTCAAGCAATGTGCATGCGTGAATTTCTGGGCCTAGAGCTCTCTTTTTAAGGGTAATTTTAGCCGGCTTGCCGGGGTGCCCACGTCTAGGATTTCAAATGCCCGCAGGTGGGATCCTTTAAGTCCATTTCTGTGGGCAAAAAAACATGCGCGCATTGTTGACAGCAGGAGTGGACAGGGAAAAGTGGCAGCGTGGACCAAGTCAGGAAAGGAGGGAAACTCTTCTGATAATATTTCACATACACATGATCTCATTTGATTTGGGTCATGCGGGGTGGGGGCAAGGCCCATCTCCGTCTTCTTTGCTGTAAGTAATTTTTACCTGGTTGTCCGGTGTTTTTCTGAACGATAAATTCGGCCGTTGGCCAGCCTTTGAACTGCTGGCCTTTCTTGGCTTGTCTTTTAGGAGTCTTGCCTTTGGAGTCTCGATTTTTTTGCAGAGCCCTTCTTTCCAAAATCCGTGTGGGAGATTTGATAATCTTGCATTGCTTGCTGGATCAATGGTTGGTGGCCAGCAAATTCCTTTATCAAAAATGAAGGGTTTTCTCCAACCTGCTGAGGAAGGGAGGGATGTGGATGGCTGCTATGCTGCGAAGGTTGGAGATGTCCTTTGTCTGACTGTTATGAAAAGGAATAGCTGTAGTGAAGTGACGTGCTGACTGAGGCAAACTTGAATAACAATCAAAAGTCAAAAGTGACTCTATCTTATCGCCAAGATATCTCGGGGAATGAGCAACCGCTAAGTTGAACATGTTTTTTTGCAACAACTCTTTGTGATGTCCTCCCTAATGTGTTTTTGAGAATCTCCAATAGGAGTTGCACTGAGGGTTCATGGTACTGTTGAAGAAGGGCTTCTTTGAAATTGTCAATTGTGATCGACTCCGGGAAGGAACCTCTGGGGGGATGGAGGTGAAATTCTCCGGTACGGATATCCAGCGAGCTTCTTTGGGCTTTGTGCGATCTTAAAGGCTTGGAGCATTGACGGTGTGGTTTGGAGCATCCTTGCACATGCAGGATCCATGTCGCCCCACTCTATGGGCTCCGTGTCGTCGTCATTCATCTGAGAGTCAAGTGCTGTGGGACTTGTAGAGGAGGCTACTCTCTTGCAAGAGGTGCGGAGTAATGTCTGGTAAAAACTTCTGAGATTAGCTTCCCTTTCTCCTAGTGTTGTAAAATAAATAATTCCATCTGAAAATTTCTTCACCATGGAGTCTGGACCTAGGATGGTTCTCTCAGTAGCAGTTGGAGTTAGCCTCAGCTTTACAGCTAAAGAGCTTTGCTCCTCCTCGTGGAGGCTCTTCGGGTGGCGCAGTGGGCGCAGCATCAGCGCCATCAGTGGAAGTTTATGCTGCCAAAGACAAACGAAAATGACAGGCTTAGAAATAATCTGAACGAGGAAAAAATAAATAGCAGTGAAACCCCTATAGGCGACTGTTAAGAAACAATTTACGAACAGGCTCTGAGAGCAACAGCATGTGGGGGGGTGTTCCGGCAGGGATCGGCTGCTACCGCCCGAGCCTACAGAGCTTTCGTGTTAATTATCACAAATGTTGTCACCAATGCAAATTCTAACAGTCATTGTATCCATATCGATATGAAGCCCATGCTATAATGGCAAGATCACCGATACTGATACCAATATTGATATTCATTTTAGTACAAACAGAAATGTTCGTCTTCATACTATTATGAGTGCTGACATTGGAGTTCATAGCTATGTTCAAAGACCCGTGCTAGTGCTCACACCTGCAAATGGTAATGCCAATCCATTCGCCTGCTAGCATCTTCAGATCGAACTTAATTTAAAATATTTGATCATCTAAGATCCATGCCAGTGCAGATGTTAGTGCGGACCCTGATACTAAGAGCAGTACGCCTTGTTCTAACGGGAAATCTACAAATTGTTGGATGCAGAATTGTTTTTTGATGTGGTGCTCCTTTGGATGGCGGTGTTTCTGCCCGTTTCCACCACTCGTTGTACGTTCCTGATGCCGAAAATTTCTTGATGGCGCAAATTCAACTTTCTTGTTGAGATTCTGGGCAATCGTTTTTCGCTGTCAGGTTTTTTATGCCTCACTCCAGGGGTTGCGGCTTTTTCTGTTCGGTCGAGGGTCCAGTCGAGTCCATAGCTCAGATTCACGCACCACCTTGCACCATGCTGTGCGTCCCAAAAGCTAGAGTTTTGCCTAATCAGTCGCGTCGGGGAAATGAGAGATGTCTCAGAAGTTTGTGGATGTTTGTGGCATGCTAGATTAAGGGAGATTGAGGGGTAGCTGTCGATTGAGCACGTTGCAAGAGGCCGGACATGCGTTGATGGGTCAACTCGCGTGCTTCGCTGGAATCTTTTAGCTTGCCGTATCTTGATTCTTGCATGCTGCTTCCCCCAAGCTCTGATTTGCCTTGATTTACCCCTCGAACTCTGCGGTTTGCAATGGTTCAAAGCAAGTTTTTGGCCACAACTAATTTGATGGTCTGCCTTGTGCAAGAATGAGAATGTGACTGGAAGTCAGAGAAGGCACCAACGTTTTCTTGCTTCCGGCTCACTGGTAGGCAGCGACAGAGGCACAATCGGAAAAAATGTTGCTTTTCGTAGTTCCGGCCGCTTGAGCCACATCAGGCCACCTTTCTGAAACTATTGAGCAAACTGTTCAACCAGTTATTCTCGATACAAAAGAGGGATTGCGCTTTTGTTTCTGGCGCATTTGCAGCTTGAGGATGCATGCCAAACCATAGTCTTGCAAAGCCTAGTTCACTTGCCTGGCGTCAGTCGGCAGCCCCAAAGCAACCGAAACTTGATGATGTTGTTGGGTCCTGCGTGACAGTGTGATTATGTGTCCTTGGGTCTCATTCTGCCAGGACCAGAAAAGAAATGGCCAACGTCGCCAGAAGCTTTCGATCATTTGATCGCTTGCGTGACAACGAAAAGAGTCTCAGTACGTCTCGAAATGTGAGCGTTCTCATGCGCACCTTGCTGATTCAGAGGTAGGTTGCTCGCGACGTTGTGTTCAGGTACTAGTGAAATCAGGACAATGCAGAACATGAAGGCCTTTTCCAAACACAGCGGGCAGCGAAGGACTACACTGGTTTTCGTCTCTGTAGGGATTCCATTGCAAGCAAACCCAATTGTATCCTCGGTCTGTTCGTTTAGAATTGTCACGAACCATGCTGAATGCCTAGCCCGAGCATCCCAACCCTTAGACAACAAAGAGCAGCGGCCAAATTCCACGAAATTATAGTCAATTATAGTCATTAGAGGTGGCGTTTTCTGATTCCCGTGAAAGCAATGACGGATCCGCGCAAAGAGTACATTGTACAGTGCATCATCAGCGTGCTGAACATCCCACGCAACGAGTTCCGGAGCAATACGACTTCAAACACGGCTTTGGAAAAGTTCCTGGATCATCCCAATGAGAAGATTCTCCAGGCGATTGAGAATGATTCAGGTGATACCTCGAAGCGCACAGTCACGTTTCAGCTTGGCTTCTCCAGCTATGTGGAGGGACTCCCTGAGATGCATTTCGTCAAGACATCATATGAGCCACTTACAGAAGCGAACATCTCAAGACTGGTGATGGTATCGTCACTTAGATTATCTGCTGTTCGCAGTCTCTACTACAACGTGCGCGAGGTTTTCATGCCTCTGCTCGTGGAGACAAAGGAGAATGACGGACTGGAAGGCCGCCTGACAGATTGCTTGGTTGAGCTGGATGCGGGCCTGAAAGCATCCCTCCGACGAGGGCTTAGAAGTCGGAATGCGGGCGAGTTTGACGACAATGACACGTCAGGGATCGTCACGCCTGTAGATGAAGTCCACTTTTGGGAGGAGCTCAAAAATGCCACAGGTGTAGGTGACGCTGCAGTGAACCGTGCCAGCAAATTCTCAGATGCTCTCGCCCCAATTGCGTCTGAACTTGATGAACTGACAAAAAAGACATTTCCCCAGCTTCTTGAGCTTACAGAGACTATCATGGACTGCTTGGATTCACTATGGCAGTGCGAGGTGATTCCTCCATACCCAGCTCCAAGAATGCTCCATTTCTTGCGTGTGATTGCTGGTGCTCTTGGCAGATGTGTCCAATCCAGATTGAACAGCCTCAATGTGTGGACATCCTCCTTCTCCCAGGTGTCTAAGCACATTCGAGAAGGGCATAAGGTATGCGAGCGTTGGAATGAAGTCACGGTAGATCTTACGGATGTGCAGTGGAGGTCGCCTGAGAACAGATGGGAAGGTGATGCTTACAAGGACCCTTTCTTGACGAATCTGGCAGGTCGGATCCAAGAAGTTAGTCAGCTGCGTGGTCAGCATGATCAGATCCTGAAGCTCCTGAGCGAAGATGAGCTCAAGGCAATGCAAATCGAAAGCTGCTTCGAGCCCTTCCTGAAGCTCTCCGCTTTCAGCTACAATGATTACACAGTACCGGCCTGGAGGACAGCCCTTGCAGAATACGAGGCACGAATGGCACCCGTAGAAGCTCAAGTTGCAGAACGCTTGCGTGCTGAGCTCTTCACCAACACATCGAATCCAGCGCAGACCGTGCGCGTGTTCCAAAGATACCAAGACTTGCTGGAGCGTCGGAACATCCGCGAGTCCTTGACCAATGAACGCGAGAGGCTGCTCACGGAGTTGGATGATTTTCTCGGCCGTGTCCAGGCAGAGCTAGAAACGTTTGACTCGAGCAATTTGCCAGCCGGTCGAGGCCTGAGCCTGCATGCACGTAAGATGGTTTGGGTCGAACACCTTCGAAGCAAGGCGGATTTGGCGGCTCGGCCACTTGCTGGATTCTTGAAGGATTTGCACGCTGCGGGCAAGGTTGGCAACACCTACAAGAAGGTCCGTGCTGAGTTGAAAGAGTTCAGAAATCGAGCATACAAAGATTGGTGTGATGAAGTCGAATCACAGTTGAAAGACCCAGACGACCCAATCGCGCTTGAAATGAACAGTCGCGTTATGGATTTTGATACTGCGCAGCAGGGAGCTCTGAAAATAACATATTCAGAGCGGCTCATTGAGCTTGTCAAGGAAGGGCGCATTTTTGAGCAGCTGGGCTGCAACATCCCCAACAAGGTGAAGCTCGCAGTGCAGGATGGTCTGAAGTTTTACCGATTTGCGGTGCAGCTGAAGCAAGTGTGCAACTTCTATAACACGCTGTCAGCGGAATTGCTTCCGTCACAAAAGCTGATGGTCCTGCAGCCAGCCCTGGCTTTTGAGCAGCTCTTCAATGAAAAAAGTGGTATGAAGAAGGTCCAGTGGAACAAGTTTGATCAGCTCGAAACGTTCACACGAAATGTGAAAGATGGAGCGGAGCGCCTAAGAGCCGTCAACAGGCGTTTGCGCAATGGTCATGCCCAAGTATCGCAAGAGGTCGTCCAGTTGGCCAACATCAGCTTGCTTCGTCAGCGAGACCAATGGAAGCTGAAGCTCGCACAGATACAGAAGGCAATCGATGCCACCATTGGAGCTTGTGGTTGTCAAGTTCCAGATGCTAAGCCGTGGAAGGCTCACTGGGATTACCAGATTTTCAAGATAATGGAGATTCAGTACCGCTTTGGACTGGAAAGCCTAAATGAAAATCTGCCGGAAATGAAGGCCGACCTCATCCTGGCGCAAAAGCAGCTCAAGCTGAAGCCGCCCTTGGAGGAGCTGAAGTCATTGTATTTCAAGGAGATCAAATCCTTCATTTCTCTGCCACTCCAGTTCAAGGGTCTTGATGGCGCACCGCACGTGTACAAAGCAATGCCAGATCGCAATGCAGAAGGTATCGCAGTCGTGTTCCAGAAAGCCGATGGGCTTTTCCAGCGAGTACAGCAACTCCAAAACTCGTTCTCTCCGTGGATGGTGGTAGGATTGATGCCAGAGCGGGTGCAAGAACTTGTAGAAGAGCTATCCGACCCGAAGGATTGGGACCTGAACTTCAGAGCCATCAAAGCAAAGCGAAAAGAAATGGACAAAATTCCAGACACCGTAAAAATAGACTGCTTCACGATCAGCACGGTGGTTCTGAAATCAGTCATTGAAGACCAGCTAGAACGCCTCAGTGATCAGCTGGTCATCGCGTTGAGGCGCAAGGCTTCCGATGAGATCAAATCTGTGATGCAGTTTTTGGAGCAAGCTCTTGACAAGCTGAACGTGCGTCCAGACACTGTGCAGGAACTGGGCAAGGCACAGGCGGATGCGGCTATCCTCATGGAACAGCAGTCAGATTGGAAGAAGCAACTCGATGCTGCAGAGGAGAAGAACAAGCTGCTGAAAACAGTTGGCACTGGCATTGACATGAGTGAGGTGCAGAACAAGTGGGAGGATTTCCTGATTCGATTGGAAGCTTTTGAGCAGCTGGCCAATGACCTGCGAGAAGAGCTGCGAGGCAAGATGGGCACCTTGGACAGCACATTTTGTTCTAGGCATTCCCAGATCGTGTCAGTTAGCAATGCTTGCATGTAGTAGGGCGTGTACACAATCAGCCGAAGCTGCAAACATGCTAAGACCAGCGCATCGTCCAGATGAACAGTGACATCGAGAAGTTTGCGTCCCGCTGGCAATCACTGAAACCTAAGACCGCCGATGATTGCTCCATTGAAGAAGCAAAGAAGAATGCAAAGCAAATGCAAGAGTGGCAATCTGAGTGGCAAGCCTTGAGGGAGCAGATGACTGTCCTGCAGGGCGACTGCGCGGACTTTGGGTTACCACCGCCAGAGCTGTCCAATATAGCTGATGTGGAAGAGGACCTGAACAGACAGCAGGCCAGCTGGAGTCTCTTCGAGGAGTTTACAACAAATTATGAGGAGTTGCTTCTGCAAACTTGGCTTGAGTTAAGGCCACGCCTCTTCAGTGTACAAGACCTGGCGCACCATTGGCTTGCACGACTACGCGAAGTTCCAAGAGATCCGGTGACTCACATGCTGTCAATGCAGGTGCAGAAGCTGAATAGTGCTCACCCTGCCCTGAAGGCAATGACAGGAGAGCCTTTCGAGAAGGATCATTGGAAGATCCTTTTTGGACTCTTGAAGCTCCCTCCTGACACCAAGCTTGAGGCGCTCACTTTCCGCATGCTGGCCGACAGACTTGACGTCATTGTTGAAAAGGTGGACGAGCTGAAGGAGTTGACAGCACGCGCAATTGGAGAAGTCACAATCCGCGATGCAGTCATGGAGGTATCTGCATGGTTTGAACAGGCAGAATTCAATTTCATGGATCATCCTGTCAAAGGAGGCTCGGTACCTCTCATCAAAGACTGGAAAGATTTGATGTCTGAGGTGTCCGAGAAGCAGAATCTCTGTGGCTCTTTAAAGGATTCGCGCTTTTTTGGCCCTTTTAAAGATCAAGTGGACAAGTTCGAAGAGAAGCTGACGCTGTTGGACGAGTTGCTGCTCTGCATGAACAAGGTCCAGCGAAAATGGGTTTACTTGGAACCTATATTCGGCCGGGGCTCCTTGCCACGGGAGAAAGAACGCTTTGACAAAGTCAATGGGCAATACAGACAAATCATGAAAAACATTGGGGCGGCAAAGAAGGTCAACCATCTCTGCACAGTTCGAGGCCTCAAAGATCAATTCACGACGTTGTCTGACCAGTTGGAGCGATGCCAGAAGGCTCTGAACAGTTTCCTCGAGGAAAAGCGTTCTGCTTTCCCACGCCTTTATTTCATCGGTGATGAAGACCTGTTGGAGATTCTGGGGCAATCTAGCAATCCGGAAGTAATTCAGGCCCACCTGAAGAAGCTGTTTGCAGGCATTGCGACTGTGGACTTTGATGCGAACATCACTCGTATTGTGGCCATGAACAGCTCTTTGAAGGAAAATGTTCCACTCGGAAATCCCGTGGTTGTGCGAGAGGGGGAGGATCCCTTGCCTGTGGAGGAGTGGCTTTCCAATCTCTCGAATGAGATGTTCTCCACACTGGCCGTGCAGCTGCAAGGATGCTATGCTCAGTCAGAAATGGATATGCAGCAGTTCGAGAAATACCCATCGCAGTTGCTATGCTTGAGTGCGAACATACACTTCACGCACAACATCGAGAGGTACATGAGCAATGGCCAGCTGCTCCAGCTCAAGGGGGACTTGCAAACCCAGCTGACGTCCATGACGTCGTTGTCCTTAGATGGTGCTCTGCCACAAGCCAAGCTGAAGGCTTTGATCCTGGATCTCATCCACAACATCTCAGTCCTGGACGACCTTCTGGTGCACAAAGTACAGAAGAGTTCTGAATGGAGCTGGTACCGTCAGCTCCGCTACTACTTGAAGCAAGGAGTTGGCCCAGAACAGAAACCATGCAGTGTTCGGATGCTTGAGTGTGAGCAAAGCTATTCCTTTGAGTATCAAGGAAATGCTCCAAAGCTTGTGCATACCCCGTTGACGGACAAGTGCTACTTGACTCTGATGCACGGCTTGCATCTGGGGTACGGAGGTAACCCGTACGGCCCCGCTGGAACAGGCAAGACAGAATCTGTTAAAGCGCTTGGCTCATGTCTAGGACGACAGGTCTTGGTTTTCAATTGTGATGAGGGTATTGACTTCCAAGCAATGGGCCGTATCTTCGTGGGCCTTGTGCGTTGTGGCGCATGGGGCTGCTTTGATGAGTTCAACCGGCTACTGGAGGAACAAATGAGTGCAATTTCGCAGTCCGTGCAGCTCATCCAGGCAGCCATCAAGAACAGTCATAGCACTGTACATCTGCTCAACCGCGACGTGCCCGTCAATCACAATGCTGGCATCTTCATTACTTTGAATCCAGCTACCAAAGGTTATGGTGGACGACAGAAGCTGCCAGACAACCTTAAGCAGCTCTTCCGTCCAGTGTCTCGGCACTGAATGGTCCTGCCATGCGATATGCAGTGCATCTCCTGGATAAGAAGTGGGCCCAGCGAGCGTAAGGTATCCTTCGTGCTTAGCTTAATCGTGATTTCTTACTTCGACTCCTGTATCTGTCCAGCTGTTGGGCAGCCTTGATTTGTTAGCCCATTTCGCATTCCAGGGATAAGCCGATGTTCCGTTCGATGCTTGCGACATAGTTGCACACCTTGTCCACCACTCCACCCCTACATATGCAATGCAGCAACCCCCCAACACACGAAGAACAGCCCCTTCATTTCAGGAGGCCTCATAACACCGAACAAAAGAAAGATACCCTCAACAGTTCTTGTTTTACGGATTTCATTTCGGGACCTACAAAATGAGAAACGCCTGGAGGCTGGAAACCTCGCGAAAAGAAGATATGTGGGACGAAGGCCCTTACATATCGCATTTTAGGGGTTGTAGGACCCTTCTCACCACCAAAATGAGAAACGCAGCCCCTACCTTTCTTGTTCTGGGTGCTTTCGTGCACTAAAATCTCCAAAAGAACAGACGCAGCCCTTACATTTCTCATTCTGATTTTTTCGGCTCCTACATTTCTCTCCAAGAAAGAAACGGCACTAAATCGTTCGCTCCCTTCATTTCTTTTCCAGCAGGCGACGTGTTTTCCCTGCTGCACCAATGTTTCTGATTCAAGCGTTTCTTGTACTGGGTTTGCACTGCAGCTTGGCAGTGATACTTCCAATCCCTGCTTCTCGTCTACGCTTTCGATTCTCCATGGTAAGAGCTTGCGAACCTTTGTTGTTAAGCTTCTCATGCGCTTGCTCAGAGGTCTGCCTTGTTTGCAGCAGGGTCTTAGCAAATTGTGAAAATATGTCAGCGTGATGAGCTGTGTGAAGGTGGCCATGAGCGTGCCAGACAATGAGCTCATCGCGGAGGTCATGATGTTCGCAGAAGGGTTCATAAGCGCCAAGGTGTTGGCACAGAAGGTGGTGGCTTTGTTTTTGCTTTCACGGCAGCTATTGTCATCACAGCAACATTATGATTGGGGCTTGCGAGCTCTGAAGCCCATCTTGACTTTGGCTGGCCGACTGCTGCAAGAGACAAAGGCTCTCCAAGCAGAGCCTCTGCGCGAAGACGAGGAGTCAGTTCTCTTGTTGAAGGCCGTTCGTATGAACACCCTTTCCAAGCTGACATTTGCAGATTCCAAACGATTCCAGGACTTGTGCATGGATTTGTTCCCTGGAATCAATGTGAAGGACATCGAATACAAGGAGCTGGAGTCAGTCATCCGTGAAACCATGCGGGAGATGAGGCTTGCAGAAATCGATTCGCAAATTTACAAGATGCTACAGTTCCATGAGGCATGCCAGCAGCGGATGGGTGTGGGCATTGTTGGTCCATCCGGTTGCGGCAAAAGCACCATTTGGAAAGTCCTTGAGGCGGCCTATAAGAAGCAAGGCAAGAAGTACGTCGTTCATGTGATGAATCCAAAGTCCATGCACAGAGTGCGTTTGCTGGGCTACATGGACCACGACACACGCGAGTGGTTTGATGGTGTTCTGACAGCTAGCGCCAGAAAAGTCATCAAAGAGCCGTCGACAACTCATAACTGGATTGTGTGTGATGGTGATATAGATCCTGAATGGGTAGAATCATTGAACAGCGTGCTGGATGACAACCGGCTTCTCACGATGCCTAACGGCGAGCGAATTCAGTTTGGCACCAACGTAAACTTCGTATTTGAAACCGATCACTTGAGATTTGCATCTCCGGCAACGATCAGTCGATTGACAATGATCTTCCTGTCAGAGGAAGATGTTGATGTGAAGCCTCTGGTTGCCTCTTGGATCCTGAAGCAGCCTGAAGAGCAGCAGGCTCAACTGGAAAGTTGGTTCGACGAGCTTTTCTACAGGGCCTTGGACTGGCTTTACAAGGGCCCGCGTGAGATGGCCATTGAAACAACTCGCATGGGCATGGTCAGCAATGTTCTTGGGCACCTTAGCAAGGCGGAGGGAGACGCTGCTGTGACTGTCCATGACAAAAGCCCTAGCATTTCAAAGCAAAGCTTCCTGCTTGCCATATGTCGCGGACTGGGAGGCAACCTGTCTGAAGAGGATCGTGGTGAGTTAACACGGGAGGCTTTCAAGTGGTCCAACGAAAACATTCCTGATCCGAGCCAGCCGCTTCATTGCCAGGTCGTGGAATCCCTCATCGTTGGCTATGCAGTCTCCGCGGGTTTTACAGAGATCTCCCTCGAAGATGTTAAACGTGCTGCCGTACTACCTCCACTGGTTCCGACTGCAACAGTGCTTCGCAATATGGACCTTTTCGCAACCTGGCTTGCACAGGAACAACCGTTTGTCGTCAGTGGTCCCGAGGGGGCAGGCAAGAACTTATTGATCCGTCATGCCATTCATCGACTGCAGAATGAGTCTGATGCAGCATTGAATGTTGCAGTCCTAAACTGCAATGCGCAGACATCTTCCAAGGATGTGCTGCAGAAACTGCGGCAGTTTTGTGCAGTATCCACAGGGACTACCGGCCGAATCTATAGACCACGCGAAGGTAGACGTCTTGTGCTGTATTTGAAGGACATCAACTTGCCCACACCCGACAAGTACGACACTTCCGAAATCATAATGTTCTTGCAGCAAGCGGTCATGCACAGAGGGTTTTATGATGATGATCTGGAGTTTGTACTTCTGGAACACATTCAGATCGTGGCTTCGATAGCGCCTGCCAGCACGCTGGGGCGGCACCGTTTGGCAACTCGTTTCACGGCTAACGTGAGGGTCTGCTCCATATCATACCCAAGCTCTGAGGAGCTTGTTGAAGTCTACACGCACTTTCTGCGCGCAACTTTCACGTCACCTGACTGGCAAAACGTGGCTGATAGAAGTCATGGCTTATGCGAGAAACTGGCAGAGGCAATGGTTGACATATATGCGAGCATGAAGGCTAAGTTTACAATGGATGACCATGAGCATTACCTCTTCAACCCCCGTGATTTGACACAATGGGTTCTCCAGTTGCTCCGGTACGAAGTGATGTCTGTTGAAAGCCTCGTAGAGGCCTGGGCCTACGAAGCCACGCGAATTTTCCGTGACAGGCTTGTGGGAGATGAAGCAAAGAACCATTTCGATGCTTTACTCAGGAATGCACTGATACAATATGTAGGTGTGGATGTTGAAGTTGACAAGCTTATTTTCACTGCGATGCTGACCTTGAGTGACGAGGGTGTTCCCAGTGGTGACATGAAAAAGGTATCCGTTGAAGATTACACGAAGATGGTGAAGGATGGCTTGAAGTCGTATCAGCGTGAGGTGAAAGACTTGGAGATTGAACTTGTTCCGGAGGTGCTGGAGCAGCTGAGCTGGATGGATCGTGCACTTGCTGCCCCTGTTGCCAATGATCTCTTGGTTGTAGGCCGCTCAGGAGGTGGAAAGCGGTCAGTAATCTCACTCCTAGCACACATGCACCGACTGGCAGTGTTCAGCCCAGCACCAGCACGTCGATATGGTGACAAGGAATGGAAGCGGGACCTCAAAGCCGTCATGCAAATGACAGGGGTAGAGAAGCAGCACACTATTTTGTTCCTTGAAGACCACCACTTGCTAAAATCAGAGTTCTTGGAGTCTGTGAACTCACTGTTGAGTGCCGGTGATGTTCCTGGCATTTGGACACCCGAGGAGCTTGAACCATTGTTGGCTCCTTTGAAGGAGGAGTGGGCTGCTTCGCAGGGTCGGGGAGGTGGTGCAAGGACGCCCTTTGAGTACTTCTGCAACCAAGTTCAGCAGCGTCTACATGTTGTGCTTTCGATGGACCCAAATCACCCGCACTTCCTTCCATACTGTGCTGCAAACCCAGCGCTTTTCTCGTGTACGACTGTGTTGTGGCTGGATGAGTGGTCTGAGCAGAGCAAGACGATTATTGCCCAAAGGATTCTCGGAGAAATGCTTTCTCAGAAGGCAGACCTCGGACCGTTGTTGCAGTATATCCATGCTTCTCAGGCAAAAGCTTCCCCACGGCACTACATCACGCTCCTTCAGACCTGCCATGCTATGTACTCAGCGAAGATATCCACAGCATCCGGGCAAAGTTCGCATTTACAGAAAGGCCTTTCAAAGCTTCAGGAGGTGAGCCAGACCGTGGAGAGGCTACAAGAGGATGCCATCGCCAAGCAGAAGGTCTTGGAAGAGAAGAAGGTGCTTGCAGCTGAAGCCTTGCAGCGCATCACAAAGGCCATGCAGCAGTCCGCAGATCGCCGCCAGGAGGTTGAGCGTTTGGAGGGGCAGACGCAGCTGGAACAGGAAAAGAACAGCGCGGACAAGGCATCCATTGAAAAAGAGCTGTCTGAAATTCAGCCCATCCTGGATGCTGCTAAAAAGGCGGTTGGCAGCATCAAGCCGGAGCATCTCAATGAAATCAGGGCTTTGAAAATGCCCCCCGATCCGATCCACGACGTGCTCAATGGCGTGCTGCGTCTCATGGGAAATTATGACAACTCATGGGCTTCGATGAAGAAGTTCTTGGCTGGTACCGGTGCGATACAGCGCATTGTCAACTTTGACCCGCGGCAGATTGATGACAAGACACGGGTGGATGTCGAGAAACTGCTGAGAGAAAAGGCCAACTCTTTTGATCATGCCACAATCTACCGTGTCTCAGTAGCTGCTGCTCCATTGGCCAAGTGGGTAGTGGCCTGTGTCCGATACAGCACCGTTCTTGTAAAGGTTGCACCGATGGAGAAGGCACGTGATGATGCAGAAGAGTCTCTTCGCGCTGCTATCGAGAAGCTCGCGGTATACAAGGATGAACTTGTCCAAATCGATGAGGATGTGCAGCGCCTTCAGGAAGAGTTCGGGGCACGCACTAGGGAAGCTGAAGTCCTCCGTGTGGACTTGGAGCGTGCGACTACGACACTCGAGAAGGCAGACCACTTGATGAGCAAGATGTCGTCCGAGAAAGACCGCTGGGAGTCACAGGTTGCTGAAATCCAACGGGATGCCGCTCTATTGTCCACTCATACCTGCCTGTCAGCCGCCTACTGCACCTATTTGGGCCACTTCTCTGAGGATGTCAGACAACAGGTGCATATGCCTAAACTACCGTAAAGCTCGCATCATCCCATTCATGCAGCAATGTTCTGCAGATAGCGCGACATGTCATGGTAAAGCGCCAGTCTCTGTCTTTCACTCTGTTACCACCCCAGCTTGCAAAGCAAGGGGTTTGCCTTCCATAATTCAGTGAAGCCGCTCCTGCGCAGGCCAACTTCCTGTGGACGGAGTCTCGAGGAATCACAACATTTGATTTCCTGCGGATCATGTCTTCCGAGAGTGAGCTTCTGACCTGGAAGGCTCAGGGTCTCTCAGCAGACCGCCTGTCTCAGGAGAATGCAGTCATGATCAATTCTGGTATACTTGTTCCATTCATTGTGGACCCCAACAGCCAGGCTCTTGAATGGCTGAAACAGACAAATCCTTCAGCAGAGAGAGTTCTGCAGCAAGACCCGAAGCTGGTGTCTCAGCTTGAGCTTGCGGTAAGATTTGGCAAAGTGCTGATCGTGCAGGAAGTCGATGGTATTGACAACTATTTAGTGCCATTGCTCAGACGTGACATGGTCCGGCAGGGGCCGAGGCAAGCTGTGCAGATTAGTGACAAGATGTGCGACTTTGATGAGAATTTCCGGTTGTTCCTCTGCACACGGAATTCAAGTGCGATCGAGATGCTTCCTCCCAACACAGCCTGCCTTGTGACTCGTGTGAACTTCACGGTAACACGTGCAGGATTGGAGGGCCAGCTGTTGGGGGTGACCTTGCAGCACGAAAAGCCAGAGCTGGAACACCGCAAGTCAGAGCTGCTGCAGAAGGAAGAAGCCTTGAAGGTAGAGCTGTCTGGTCTTGAGAAGACTTTGCTCGAACAACTTGCAGACTCCAGCGGCAACATCCTCGAAAATGAGCCACTCATCCAGTCCTTGGAGCAAACCAAGGCAGCAGCAATCACGATTTCAGAATCCCTCTCGGAATCCTCACGCCTGCAGATGGACTTGGATCAGCAGCGTGAGGTGTATCGTCCGCTTGCCACATTGGGCTCCAGGATTTTCATTCTTGTCAAAGAGCTTTCCGTTATTGACCACATGTACCGCTTTTCTTTGGAAGCCTTCATGGCGCTGTTCAACAAAGTGCTCAACTTGCAGCTTGGCTCCGAGACCACCGATGACAAGCTGAGGCAACTTGGAAATCAGCTGAAGATTGTAGTTCTCTTCTACATCTCCCGGTCGCTTTTCAAAGCTGACAGGCTCACTTTTGGCATTCACATGGTTCGGGGTATCATGCCAGACAAATTTGAAGTAAACGAGTGGGAGCTCTTTCAAGGAGTTTTCATCCCAGCAAGCCAGCCGCCTACGCCAGTTCCGTCGTGGTGTCCTCAAGACAGATCTGCTGCTCTACAGACTCTGCGGGCAACGTTTCCGAAGATTGACGAACACTGGCAATTGAACAAAGATGCACTTTGGTCAACATGGGTTGCATCTGACAAGTGTGAGGAGACCTTTGATGGCTCCGTGTATTCACGAATGTCTGCATTTCAGCGGGTCCTGCTGATACAGGCTGTGCGACCCGACCGGCTGGAGTCTGCACTGACGCAATTTGCCTGCGAGGCTCTTGGTGTGTCATCACTGTCCCCACCACCGCTGAGCTTAAATCGCCTCTACAAGGAGGAGACAACAAGCAAGCTCCCGGTCCTCTTCGTGACCACACCTGGAGCCGATCCGTCTGCAGAGCTTGAAGAGTTTGCAAAGATGTACGCAGCCGAGTCTGCTCCAAGCATGAACTTCCACCAGCTTGCGATGGGCGGTGGGCAGAACGATGATGCGATAAGGCTTCTGCGTGAAGCAGCAAATGTTGGTGATTGGGTTTGCTTGAAAAACTTACATTTGGTGATCAGCTGGGTCCCGCTGCTCGAGAAAGAGTTCAAAAGTTTGCAACCGCATGAGAACTTCCGGTGTTGGCTGACGACAGAAGCGCACGCTAAATTTCCAACCATTCTGCTGGAAACGTCGCTGAAGGTGACTTACGAAGCACCCCCCGGTGTGAAGAAGAATGTGTTGCGAACGCTAGAGTCATGGAATCATCATTGGTTTGCGCAGGGAAATGACCTTAGGTCAAGGGTGATCTTCCTGTGTGCGCACTTTCATGCGATCATGCAGGAGCGCAGGACCTACATTCCTCAGGGTTGGACAAAGTTCTATGAATTTTCCCAGAGCGATTTACAGAGTGCCTGTGAGACAGTATCATTGCTGGTGAAGTCAGGAGAATCTTTCAAGCAGTCTAGTCCAGGAGCGATTGGCATTGACTGGGTCACACTCATTGGAGTGCTGGAACAGGCGGTGTACGGAAGTCGTGTCGACAATGACTTTGACTCCCGTCTTGTGCGAGAATACCTGGCAATGTTTTTCAAGTCTGAGACCTTGGAGGGTGGCAGACGAAAGGCTGGACTTGTGGAGATTCCTCCATTTGATATCCCCATGTCCACGAACATGGGGGATTTCCGTGCGCGCGTGGAGCAGCTGCCGGATCTAGACAATCCAGCATCTTTTGGCATGGCGCCAAATGCGGATCGTTCATTGCAGCGTATCAACTCGGCAAAGGCAATCTCGCTTTTGCGCCAGCTGGCCACGAGTGGAGGAGAGACGGGCGATTCCACTGCGGCTACGGTTGACATCAAGGTGTGGAGAACCCAGCTTGCACCTCTCTTCACAATTTGGGACAATGTGAGCAAAGGGCACCTCAGCAAACTAAAAAGCATAGATATTCGTGCCGTTCATCCGGATGATCCGCCTTCTATTGCGTTTGTCTTGATGGATGCAGCAGAAGCTTCTAGATTGGGGGAGGTCGTCACAGCTGCTCTATCAACCTTGCAGCGGGTGGTGAACGGTCACGCTTTGAGTACACCGGACTTGCAAGTGCAAGCCAAAGCTCTGATAAGGGGCGAGGTACCTGAGTCATGGTCCGTCACGTGGCCATCTGCCCCTGAAGATCCTTCGCTCTACCTGCAAGGTTTGGCCAAGCGCATCGCAGCGCTTAAAGGAGATTGGGTGCGGCGGGTGCAGTCGAGAAATATTCTTGCGCAGCCTATCTGCCTAAGCGATTTCCTGCGGCCCGACGTTTTCCTGAATGCACTTCGTCAAGAGACGGCCAGGAGGCTGGCTGTTTCCATTGACAGCTTACACTTAGTTTCAACATTTGAGCCACACCTTCTGAGCGATGAGTCGTCCCCACTGCCGGTGACAGTGCAGGAACTTATTCTTGAAGGTTGTGCCTTTGATGACTCCAAACGGATGCTGATTGAAGGGCAGCGAAACTCCCCATTGGTGTCCGTGCTACCGCCGATGACAATCACATGGATGTCAAGAGCCACTCATCCCGAGCGGACAGCTTCGTCAGCAAGGTCGGCTGGCACCATTTCTTTGCTCTAGCCTTAGCCATCTAAGCTGCTCCCGGCGGCCAACAGACGTGTAGATGCCGTAGTCCTCACTGGTGCATTCGCCATTTTGCGACTCTCAGGCCTGTGTATGCCTCGCTTACTCGTGAACGATTGATTGCGGAGGCGTGGTCGAGGGATGACAGGCAATCCCCTTTGGTTTGGTTGAGGTGTAGGACCGCACGAATTTCTGCTGCGCTCGTTCTATCAAATGAAATGCGTACAGCGTATTAGCGTACGGTAGTAGTGTATGCCTGTGTAGACCTGGCTTTGTCTTGTTCGGCTGCAGCTTTCTCTAGCCAATCTGCCGCGCACAATACGCATGACATGAGGTTGAGCTCAGTACAGACAGCGCTCGCCAGCGCAAGCTCAATGCCGCAGCGCTGTTCTTGACAGAAAACGAGTGAGGCAAAATATGTTGAGTTTCACGAAATTCAGATGAATTCAGCTTCGATTGACGAGACCTGCAAAAAGTATCAGGTCACTCATCCTCGCGGCATGCACATAGTGCATAAGCCACGAGCGGTTTTCGGCAAGAATTTGTAGCATGTCTAGTTCATATTGCAAAAAGCCTGTTGACCTTGCTCGTCCACAGAAGCAGGAAGCCCACAGCAAGACATCTCTCTCGAGAGCTGGAGAGTTCCATCAAACGAAAGCGCCGTTGTGCAGACCCTCCGCCCAGTTGTGCAGCAGCCGGCTCTCACAATTTGCAAGTTGTAAGGCTTCTTTAACATTGCCAGTCATTGCATACGAGCAGCCAGCCTGTACAGCAACATTCATGATTTCCAGAAGTTCTCAGTCCTTGTACACTGCAGTTGCTTCCTTGTAGCTTTGTGGGGTAGCAATGGCGCTCATCACTGAGGTGCGGCGCAACTGTTTGTAAGGTTGAGATGAGTTGGCTGTCCAAATTGTTCGATCACGGTCGACTCGCAGATTGAAGCTTGAGTTAGAGGCTGCGCCGGGTCTGTTCAGGTTTGAGCAGGCTGCTCATTTTTCATTACCGTTTTGATGTCGAGACGAGCAGACGAGCATTGCAAATTCCTCCAGATATCTGCAACACTGCGATTATGACCAGGCCTTTGCCCTCGGGGTGGCGCCGCCGGTGCCAGTCACCAGGCAGACGTAACGTTAGTTCCTCTCCATGTGAGATGAACATTTTGCAGCAGTGCCTCACTTTTTGTTCAAATGGCTCAGCTATATTGTTCTTCTGGGTGCGCCGGTAGTGAGATTTTTGTCAGGCTTGCTTGCAGAATCGTGCCTGCTTTAGAGTGCATCATCTTCATCTTAGTTCGCTCCGTGGCTGCTAAGGCCTGGCTCTCCAAGCTTCAATTTCACAGTACGTCCACTCGAGTGCCCTCGAGTCCTGGAGCCCCAAATTCGTCTGTTGGACCACTAGATAGAAACAGGCCCTTGGATCCTTCGGGAGCATGTGGGACAGCTTGGTAAGAAAGCAACAAAAAGGCTGGACTTTGAAGATGCAGCAAGCCTTTTGCCTGCAAAATCTAGTCCGAAAACAGCCTGAAATTCAAAGCGAGGCAGAGGGCTTGCTTACGTACTGATGTTGAGGTCAAGTTTCCTATGTCTAGTGTCTAGTGTCTTACATATCAGAAGTCAGACCTGCATGCTGATTATGGAGCTGACTGTAGGTTTCTGAGCACATTCGTAGAGGCTGGCAAGAAGCATAGAATGACATGCCAGCGGCATCCACTGGGGCAAGTCTGAGCAATAGAGAGCTTTAAAATTTCGCTGGTGCTGTTCCTCGACAATCTAACGAGTCTTACTTAATCATGGGTAGGCCAAGATGTCCTGCACATGGCAAATCAGGCTAGTCGTCCAGCGACACTGCCTTCAACAGCTCTGTTTCCTTCAGCTCTGCATCCATGCAGAGCTGAACACTCCTTGGCAGGCTTCCGCAACTGGAGCGACCAGCGCATGAGGTTGAACGAGGCGTGAGATGCTAGATGTGTGTTGTGTCGAAAGACACTTGTTTGCTCCATAGGCGCTTGGCCCACCTTTGAGTTCTTGGCACCCTGTCTGGCCGACCAATCCAGGTGCATCATCATCTTCACTTGCAGCAGCTGCTGCAATTGTAGCTGCAGGAGTAGTGGCGAAGAGGCTCGCTCATGCGAATAAAATATTACATTATTCCGCAGCACTGCATCTTTTCACGGCTGGAATGCTCCATGAGATACCGCAACAGCAAATTGGTGAGTGCTTGATAGGTCTTCAGTAGATGTCCTAACCTTTAAGCCTCGTGAATGCACACCGATGGGTTTGGGTGAGCTAATTGCATACAGTGCGTGTATCTGTTTGTTCTCAAATTCTGGGCCCTTTTGGTCAAAGACTAGATCACGGCACCTAATATTTCATCATGACTCACGTAATTGTTGTAGATTGTTTCATTCAGAACAGGCAAGTTTTTGATGTTTGTGGCTGCCATAGCAGCAACCTGCGGCCATTCAATCCAAAGTCAGTGCGCTACTCTTGGAAGGCGGTCACCAGAATCCCGACCAGCCGTGTCCTGGCAGCTCTTTCAACTAAAGTTTTTTTGTGCCGTAGGGCATAGGCCTGCCAAACAGCCCCAGCGGCACAGCAGCGAAGCTAGTATGAAGTCAGTGAAGTCATGGTGCCTGGTTGCGAGACGGTTGTGATTCGCATCCTACATTTGGAGATGTGGGGTCGGCGAAGACAGACGGAGTATTTTCCACCTACATACCGGGTCACCCACTTCACGAGAGAGAGGACAAAGGGTAGTTGCTGCAGGTAGAGTGCACGCGCGTTTGCCGGCTTGGCTCATTCCTAATGTTTCCAATTGTTACCGTCCTTGTCCGAGGGCAAGAATCCTCCAGCTAGAGCAGCTGTGCAGGCCTGATCCTGAAACGGTGAACTGCTTACCCCTGGTCCACGTTGTTGAGGGCGGTTTGCTTTGGGCAAAGTAGGTCTCGTATTCATGCTGTTCATTTTTCCGAACTTTCTTCCCGTTCCGAACTTGATTCTTCTAGTGCTCCGCCCTTTCTGGTGCTTTTCAAGAGCTGGGGTTGAGATTGAGCTTCGCTTCTTTAGCTGTTTGCCCTTGGTGTTGATCTCGAGCTATTATGCCGACGGTTGGACGATTCATAATATCTATCCAGATGTATCCAGTATCTGACAGGATGTCAACCTCCCCTCCTCAGTTTCTCATTCCCATCACACCTTCCTCTACCTCGGCGGAGGCTCCTTTGCTTCCAGGTTCTCTTTGACTTTGCTGCTCTCCTCTCTTATGTCTCCTCGGCTCTCTCTCTTCTCTCTCTGCTTCTCTCTGTCTCTTTCTCCCAGCCAGTCTCCATGCCTTGCTAGAGGCACCTTACATGCAGGGTAGAAGTGTTAGATTGATGCATGTTCGGAGGAGAAGGCACAAGAGCAACATTCCTTGATCAAAGTCTCCGGAGCAGTACGGAGTTCACTGTGATGACCTTGCATCCTCAGCTTGGATTGAAGTGGCTATGGTGCTAAGTTTCAGGTTTGAGGCACAAAAAGAATGACGTGCATGTGATGTTTGCTGAGGCGTGAGGTTTTCACACTGGAGATTAAGTTTTGCCTTGATGCAGAGTCATTCCCACAACTTAAACCTTGGAAGCTGGCGTACAGGCTTGCTTTGTCCAACGTCCGATGGCTTACGTTTGCTGCAAGCCATCCCGCCATTGGCTTCCGGAATGCAATTCCGGGGTCTGTCGGGGCAGCTTGAATACGAAGTTAGGGCTTGACAGCCCGTAAACTTGATTGGGCGTTTGGCTTTCTGAGGATTTAAGCAATCATTTTGGACATCCCGGCTGGCCCCAAGCAGCCTGAATTCAGCCTGTATGTTGAGGAAATGAACATCGCAACTCGACAGCCAGACCTTATGCTGACATTCTCTGACTGATGGCAATGGATACTTCATCTGGCCTTTTCCTAGTTTGAAGGTAGTGGCATTGCAGAATTTTTCCATTCCGCGGTCTCAGCGTAATGCGTTCTCAAGTCCAGCAGGTTCGGGCTGCAGCCGTAGATGACCGCGTCGAAACCGTCCAGGCTCGTGTGGATGCGTCTCCATAGGAAAAGTCAGTCTCTATCAATTCATTGTCATGAGGCGGATTCCATGGGACGAGGAATGGCGCTGGCCTCGGTTGTAAGACGCAGTAGTTTTCTGATGTTTTCTCTGTCTCTCTGTTCGCAGGTAATACCAATGACCAGAGTGGAGGGTTTGGAGGAGGTCAAGCTTGCTCTGAAGCTGGCCAGTCACTTGGAGCTGCAGATCGAAGAATTTCTCCATTCCTAGTGCTTGAGGCTTGCATTGATCCTTCACTTGGTGGCGTAGGCCTGCGTTGTGTACAGTATGTGTGAAACAGTATGCTGATGTGAACATTGACATGAGCTGCATGGGAGGAATCTCGGGCGGCCATGGAACCGGAAAAACGTTGACCGCTCAGTTTTGAAGTATTTTGAAAGCTAACATGCGGAACATGGTCGTTGCATTTATTCTGGAAGGCATGCCATGATTTGTGAAGCTTGAAGCCTGTACTCTTCTGTTGTGCGGCTCATGCACTGCTCACTGACCCATGTACGTGTGTTGATTCCGTGTAGTAGACGAGTTGTCCAATGTTGTCCACTTGCTGCTTGGCAATAATTCGGCCAACTTGCGTGCTCGACACCAAAAATGCAGGACGCTGGCTCGCTCGCTCAGAGGCGTCCTTCCAAAGATTGAGGCACAAGCAGAGATGCATTCGGGCAGGCTAGCCGATCTCATATCAAGCAGCACAAGCTTTCAGGTGGTTGCAAATTCGATCTGCAACTGTGATCCGAGCAAACCATCAGAGCGCTGGCCTCAGCAATTTGATGTGGGAGGCTCCCGCAACCCCAAGGCCCAAGGCCATTTCCAGGTGGCTTGGGTGCCCCCACGTACGGCCTGCTGCTGCTGCTGCTGCTGCTGCTATTTCATGCTTTGTGCTGTTGCTGTTTTTTGTTACTGTTGGTGCTGTTGCTGTGGCGGCTCAGCACATCATCATGCGGATTGCTCCTTTCACGTTGATTCTCCCCTCACAACTTTATCAATGTTACTTCTGTTTGTTCAATCATTTACATGTGATCGTGTGAGAGTTTATCAGTCACATCTTGCAATCCAGGGCAATTTCTGCCGTCATGTCTGCCGCAGTATCAGACCCGAAAACCGAGCAAAAAGTAACTCCCAAAATCATTTCAATCATCTCTTGCGAAGGTGGGACAGATTAACTCGTGAACGACTTGTGCGCGATGACAAGGTGCCTGCAGCCTTGAGAAATTTTCTATGACTTAAATTGCACTGGCGCCGAATGCCAGGGTGAAGTGGCGACAAAGGTGATCGACTGCCCTTTCATTGAGTTGCCTTCAACTTGGTGAGCAGCAATGTTGACATGCAACATGGTATGTCAAGACAAGTTCCCTTTATCTTTCCTTCCCGCAGAAACATGCGCCGCTACATGGCGTTGGCAGGGCAGTGCAATGCAGGGATGCAGGGTCAGATTTGAGCTCCAAACAACGGGGGCCGCTTGAAACAGGCGGTGCGTGTGTGTGCGACTATGTTACCAATGATCTCCTGTGTATTTTGCCTGAGGAACCCGCGTAGCGTTCCTGTGCAGGGAACGGGTCACAAACATGCCTGCTAAAATTCCTAAGAAATCATCAATGCAAGATGGCATATTTTCTCTGAATGAAACCTTCTCAGCTCAGGGTTTCACAACTTTCGAATGTTTTGGTCGGTGGGGGCTAGCGGTGCGGTACTAGGAATTAGTAGCGAGCTCAGATCCACAGCGACTCCCCTGCTGCTCCGGCACAGCCTTGAACATCATTCAAGGGCAACACATGATGGCTGAGGATGCCAGCAGTGAGTCCAGCCTTTGATGGTTGTCGTTCATACTGAGGCCACTCGGGTGCACCGAAGACCGCCTTGTGGGATCGTTGGATGTTCAGGTGATGGTGAGAGAGATTCCGAGAGTAAGAAAACACGGCAACCGCAAGTCCAGGCATCTATGGAAGCTGGACGACCCATTTTTGAGCCAGGTTTGCGCGGCACCCAAAAATTCAGCAGCTGATTCATGCTGTTTGACCATGTGGTGTGTGGTGTTAGCAATGCGGTGACTTCATTCTTACTAAGGCTTGCAAAGGCGCATCGAGGCGTCCTGTATATTGATGACGTCAACCTCCTTCAGGCCACAGCTCTTCACACGGATGCGCCAAGAAACGTTGGATGCGATTGAAGAGCGCAGCAAGGATGACCTTGTGAGTTTGCTCTTGACCGTGGCGGGCTCAGGAAACAGGACTGGACTGCTAGGAGAGAACGCTGAAACCCAAGAAGCTTGTCAAGGCGGTGGAAAGCGGAGTGAATCGCGTGGAGCGAGAAGGCTTATCAGTGGCATTGAGCTCAGGGCTGCAGCTGTGTTTGTGGTGGGCTGTCCATCATGCTGTATGAGCCCCTGACAAGTTTAGTGTTTTTTGAGTTCAGTTTAGTCTACAGTTGGCACGTGTTTTCTATGTACAGATGACCTTCAAAACGGCAGCCTACTTGCAATGAGAGAAGCCTGAAACACAATGGGGGACCACCCTACATGTTGCGTCCATCAGTACTGCATAAATCCACACGACACATTTGCTAGCGGAGCCCATCAGAATTCTCAGGAATCAGCAGTGTGGCTAAGCTAGGAAGCGGTTGGCGACCATTCGAACGCAAAAATCATGCGTTCTGATGGACCTGCTGCAAACCACGCTCATCGTGTGCGCCGTCTCTGCCCCCAGGAAGAAGCCAACAGCCCTTGACTTCAAACCGGAACCCTACAGCGTGGATCATGATGCTGCTAAACCTCCACCACGAATCACAGGGTCCACTGTGCCACATTTGGATGAGGGCCAAGGACTGGGAGCTTCTTGCTAGATCCTTGCGAGCAGCTCAATGAAGGACACTCTCAGACACGATGTCTGAGAAGACACACATGAGTTTCTGGGCCTAGGTGGTATGTGCCACGTATCTTGTCGTCCTTGTCTTGCTCCGCAGCAGACGGTGGCTTTCTGTTAAGTAGTCCTCTGCTACTGATGACAGGTGCACGAAGACGAAAGCCTGTGCCCAGACCTGTCCAGCGGTTGAACCCGAACGCGAATGCACTCAGCACTAAAATTTCACCATCTCACTGAGAGTCACCTCACAATTTGGCAATCATTCCTTAAAGCGAGACCGAAGCACAGTCGAGACACAATGCACGGGCGGTGAAAGTATGCTTTAACACGCACGTCCATAAGGGCAAGCCTGCACCGCTGGGCCTTGAAAGCGCCTACTAAGGAGCACAACGTCCAAGCTCCAAAATCTCTGTTGTTGCACGTGCTGAAAGACAAGAGATAAAGCTCGTAAAATGCTGGGCTTCTGCGGTGTCGAGACTCCAGGACAGGGAGCGAAGGCACTGCTAAGCAGTTCATTTTGAGATAGGTTTTCTGTTTTGAAATTGGCTGCCGTCGAGTCACATGAACTAGCTCTTTCTTCAGCAGTAGGAGGGGGAGATAGAGGCAGACACTGTTTGCTATTGATCCTATCACTACTTGAAACTAGCTGTTGTGGGGAGTGTGGGGGAAGGGGCGAAATTGCTGCTTCAGAAAATGTCCGCCCCTGCTATGGTTGGCTGGCTTACGCTTACCTCGCTCACTGCATGTGCATGATCATGGCACGAAAAACATCCTGCCTGGCTGCCGCATCAAACCTTAGTGTCACGGTACTACCCTGCATGGTCATAATGCATAAAACATGCCTGGTGAATCCCGGTGCGTTAAACTTCCCCCTGTCCCGAAGAGCTGATGACCTAGCTAGCTTTCGTTTGCCTCGGCTTGCCCCTTAAGATCTTTGCAGTCAAAGACGGAGTGCGCTTGCTGACATGAGTTGGGCCCAAAACATCCCAAAACCATGCGCCTGTGGATGTATATGAACAGAACCAAAGATTGTGTGCTGAATGAATCCTGGCAGCTCGATTCACAAGCACGACGCATGTGATTTCCTTGAAAAGTCAGAGCAAAGTCAACTGGCAATGGCCCAATGGCCCAGTGCATATGGATGATGAGACCATGCTGTTGGCGTGAGCGGGTGTGATGATGTGGTGGCTAGGCAATGTTGTTTTTTGAGTTCGTCCCCACCCTCGCCCTCGCTGCAAACTTGTTTTATTTCCAGAAGACATCAAAAGATATCTTCTCCTGCCCTGTCAATCGTTTTTCTGGCTTGCCCAGCCAGATTCCTTCTATGCCCAGCTGAACAGCGTCCAGCTGAACTACGAAAGGCAATGTGGACCAAATGTTGTGGTGAAGACGTTCAAAGTTCGAGTATGTTTTCCACTGAGCCTGTCGCTGCTTGCAATTTGTTATGAGTTGCGCTGTGAGAGCCAGCGGCTGACTCTCCAGTTTGCATCCTCATGGATATGTCGCCGGATATGTCACCGAAGAGAGCTTGCAAGGGCACCAGATTGTTTGGAGCGTACCTCTGAACTCGCGCCGAGACTATGCGGCCGAGTCATGTTGATCTACATCAATGTCCCGCCCATCTCGCCACAAAGGAACCTTCTGGGATCCTGAGGGCCAGAACGCAGGAACAGCACAAGAGCAGCGCCTGATATGCGGATACTAGAAACCTTGCATAACCCTAGGAGTACCTCACACTTTGAGAATACTACAGTGTTCCAGGCATGCAGGATTTTCAACATGAACAGTAATACCTTATAAGACCTGAGGGAAGCCAGCGCTGCGGCGTTGGATTACGAATCTATGGACTTACTGGAACATGCTGCGACCAACTGACCTGCGTCCCTTATGAAGTGATATCCGAACTGAGGCTCACCCTTGCCGTCCACTGGTCGTGGCCACATGGAACCCGGAGGAAGGCAAGTCGAAGTTGCAAGATCATGCAAGATGTTGCAAGATGTTGCAAGATGTTGCAAGATCAATAGGTGGCGTGTGCTGCGTAGTCAGGTCCTCTCCGGCCACATCTTTTAGATCGTTTGGCGGTTTCGTCGCGACCCAAGCGACATGATGGGCCACAAGGTCCCGCCCACCTGTACAGAGTTAGCTGCAATTGAAGGTTGAACACAGACATTGACACAGTGTACACCGACTTGGATGAGCGCGTCAGTGCGGCGAATGCAGCACTTGACTTTGCCGAGAGGCGCTTGCAATTCCTAGTGGTCCTAGCTCATGACCGGCGCAGATCTGGAGGCCTGCGCAATCCCTGGAAGAAAGCAGTGCTGAGATCTCTGCCATGCAGTTGTGCCCTCGGCCACAGCTCGAGCAGTGTCCGCGGGCTTGCAAGCGCTTGATTTAATTTTTGCAAAGGACACAGCTTCTATTTGCACGGGAGTTCCTCAACGATGCAACGCACACAGTTGCTTTGATTGGAGGAACACGCTTTGGTTGTTGTATGTTGTGCTGCTCCGCAAGCACGCGAGTTTTTTTTCCACAAATTTATCCAACAGTTCTATGCCTACAAGCTTCCGCGTCCCTGAAACACTCGCGATGACCAGCTTGGGACAGATGCCAACACACATCTTGTAGCAGAGCAAGGAGGCAGAATGTGGAGAGGTGGCAGGAAACCCGAGGGATCTGTGGACCGGAAAGGCCCTGAAGTGAAACTTATACAACTGTACCGAGCAAGTGGCTCAAGCTCAAGCCCAGGCAAAAAGGTGGAGCATGCAAAAGTACTACCACGGTATCAAGTTTGCGCAAAACTGCACCAGAGCAAAGGACAAATCACAACTGTGGCTGCAGAACCATGTACGGAAGCTGAATCACATGTGCTGGATGTAGGAACTCAGGCCATGACCGCCGGGGCAAGCAGCCAGCGAGCGCAACACCACAACGGCATGTAGATGTAGCAGACGAAGCTCCAGCGACGCCGGAGGAGGGGCCAGCCACTCTCGCAACTTCACGAGCAAACAGTTGCAAAGAAGGCCGGGCACCGCAGGTGAATCGACCAATTTGACAAATCTGGCTGCAAAACTCTCCCAGGCCAAGTAGAAACTTGCCGTCACTGCCGCCGCCGCCCCCACCCCCACCCCCCATATCAGGCCCGGGAATATCGGTAGAGATGTACCAACACAGAAAGCAGTGTTGTGATCACTTTGTTCTGGTCCAAGAGTCTAAGCTCCTTGAACCACCAATGGCAACAGCATAGCATAGTTACATGGGACATGTCTATATAGGTACAGGACAAAGTTCCCCACCCTTCAAGTGGGGTCGTTTTGTTTTAAGGGATATGTTGGCGATTTGGCACGATGGCCAGCCTTTGCCCGTCAGGCTCTGCCCGTAGTCCCGTCAGTAGGCAGTACAGATACAAGAGGACAACTTTGAGGAGAGGAAAGACGACAGACCACTGGACATGAATAAAAACAGGACAGATAGCACGACAGAAGAACAGAAAAGACAGGACGACAAAAGAAGAGAACAGATCAGAGAACAGGAAAGAGAACCAGCAGCGTGACAGAAAAGAGCAACCTAGAGGACAGGAAAGACAACAGCCAGCAGGACACAAAAAGAGGACAGACAGCACGACAGAAGAACAGAACAGACAGCAGGACAAAACAAGAGAACAGATTAGAGAACAGTAAGGAGAACACTCCGAGTGCACTGAAACAATTTTAGCACCCACAAATTGCTGCCAGTGGGGTCCCAGGCAGCTGAGCGCACCGAAGCATTCTTAGCGCCCACAAACAGCAACCACTGGAGGTCCCAGGCCTCCGAGTGCACCGAAATCATATTGGCGCCCAAAGAGCAGCCAGTGGAGGTCCCAGGCTTCCGAATGCACCGAAGGGGGGTCTCAAGCCTCCGAGTGCACCGAAACCATCTTAGCACCCACAAAAGACGAAGAACGTCACCATCGCGAAGGCGAAGCCACGTTGCAAACTAGGAAAGCAGCACATAAGCACATAGACATGCACCTGAAGCCTTGTGCCTACATCCATGTCCATTTCCCGAAGTAGCCTGCTTGACGACCAGTCAGCGTGACGCATCCATTGCGTCAGCTGGGAAATGCTCGTGGCCCCTTTTCCAGATAAAGGAGTTGGCACCCTAGACTACGCTAACGTGATACCTGAGCCCAGGGTTTCGATGACTGCGAGATACTATGAGGTAAGCACGTATTCGCTGCAAGGTCCGGATCAGTCCAGATCAGCTTCAGCGACTAGCGGACGAGGCCAGTCGAGGTGGCTGCGAAGGAGAGCTGCTCAGTTAATGTTCATCAAGCTCACTACAAAAATGGCCTTGAAATTCTACTGCCCGCACTGTGCCCTACTCTGTCAAGACAGCCGGTCTTCAGGACTCAACGCCGAGTTATTGAAATCGATGAAGTTGCCATTCCGCTACTTGCAGCGATGAAATTCTGAAGCTTGTATCCACACTGCGCAGGACATCGCGGCGAAGTTTTTGCTGTGAAAATTGCTCGGGCACATGCAGCTCTTCAGGGCGTGGTCCTTTGCATTGTTTGAGCTCGCTTTACCTGGTCTCCATCTGTTGCAAGGTCGCGATGTTTGCAATGCAGATGACCTGAAGGAGGCGATCAAACTCGCAATTCTGTACAAGCCTCAAGATGCAAGAAGCAATTCAAACATGGCAGCAGTATGGATTTTCATACGATCTTGGGTCTCATGTTCTGAGGCCGCGCATCAGAGTACAGGAAGCCAACATGCAGGAGGAAATCGAGGTGCATCCGGGTGGCCAAGACAATCAACGCCAATGTTGTGGTGGAAGCTGCCTTGCTCATAAGTTCTGTGCCCCGTTCAATTCAAGTTTGAAAGCTACCTCTGGAGTCGGAAGTCTTGACAACGCCTCACTCCAAGCTGCCTTCTGAAAATGCACAGATGCGCGCCAGCTCGTTTGAAGAGAGTCACTTGCAGATATTTAGAGCTAGCTGCTGAAGCTCATGGGCTAGCTTGTGCAATTATGGAAGTCAGCGAGGAAGAAGAGGCACCTCCGCCGCCGCCTCCTCCACCCCAGTCAGACATGGAAGATCCAGAGGAGTGCCCGACACATACATACTGCGGTCCTGGTTTTCCATGCCACCCTGCACAGGAGATGGAACCTCCTCCTCCACAGGTGCAGTGCTACATGGCTTCTCCTACTGTTGTGATAGAGAAATTAGCAACATCTCGCAATCTACGCTAGGAGCAGGAGGAGGAGGACAGAGAGGAAGAGGATGAACCAGAGCAAGACCAGGAGGACGAGGTGTGCCGCAATTGTAGCTGTAGCGCTGCTGTAGTAGGGTAATCAGAAAAGACGTTCGGCTGCAGGAAGACCAAGACCCAGACGTTCCAGAGGAGTTCATGATCGATCCGGAAGGCTCACGAAAGATGGGAACCGTAGCCACTTCAGGGGCACGTTGGGCTTTCTGCAAGTAACACGGCAACTGGTTCTCTATCTGACGTCATCTTCTGGTCAGATCAGTGCCCCCCAAAAAATATGAAGTCTTGGGGCCTAGCAGCAATTTAGCTTTTTACTGCAAGAGCCGAATCCAAGTTATTGGGCTGGCGAGCCCACAGGAGGGCAAGAAGTTTCGAGTTCGGGGATCCCCCAAATGTACTGAACAATACTTAGCAGTAATAATACTTGGTCGACCAATTTGATCTTGATTCTTAGAAACTCCATCACGCTCCATCATTCTTGAAAGATCTAAGCCGGACTACTTTCCGATGCAGCCCCGAGCCTCAAGTATTGATTTCTTTTCGCGTAAGGCGTAAGGCTTAAGGTTTTATTGGAAAGGGCAAATTGTGGCTCTCAGGCCCTCAGCCCCCGACCCTTCCTATCCGTATCCAAGACCGGTCCAAGACCCAGACTTCTCATTCTTGGCTCTACAATTCACTTTTGCCTTTTCTCATCACCATCCTGGACCCCAGAATAATAAATCCATGCCAAAGCCCCTGCTATTCTGACCCGGAAATTAGCCATTCTGCCAGACAGTTGCTTGGCTTTAAAAATGTACGACTCGCCATTTCATTTATCTGTGCAGAGAGGCATTGTCTTCAGTGTTTGCCTCCGCACCCAGAATTTAGGATCAGACCTGCAAAGTGAGGTTGACGCAGTGATACGCAGTGAATAGTGCCAGGTGCTGTGGTTGACCCAGACTTGTTGAAGTTTCAGAGCCAGCAGAAGAAGAGCGGTGCAAGCCTCGACATTTCGCACTTCGCACATCTGTTGTCAGGTTGCTTGAATGCGCACCGCTAGGCCGCTAGGCGTAGCTGCAGCAACTGCAGAGCGCGTTGATGCACATAATTCAACTGCCATCTGGATATGGCAGACTACATGGGACGTACTGTGAGCTTTTCCCAGTGCCGGAGACGCCTTTGTTGGGTTCGATTAAGCGCGGGGTCACCCGGTCATAAAGCAGCAACAGCCTTTCGGAGGCGTCAAAAGTTGGCGTTTGAGCTGTCAAGGGAGCACAACCACCTGCCTTGAGCTTTTTTAAAGCACTGAAGTGCACTGACAACGTCTATGTATAGGACGAACAATTAGGCGGGATGTCGCATGCATACCGTGAATCAAGGGTTTGTTCAGCTCTGGGAATGTAACTTCGTAAGATTCGTCGAGGCCGTAGCGGCAAGGGCAACAAGATCTACTCCATGGACCGTGGCCGTTATGTCAAGGCTCTCCTTGCAGGTCTTGGTGGTGCCTGCTCCAAGCATGAGCTGAGTTTGCTGAGATAATGCAATTTTGCAACGCGTGATCTTGTAGGGCACGCCGGTGACTGTAGCAGCAGGTTTGGATTGTGATTGATGTGTTGATGCTTGCATATTCTTAATGGCTGGGTGGAAATGTCTGTTTCCCCACGCCGGCAACCCTTCATTTTTAAAAGCTTAGATTTCTTGGATCTATGAAATCCTTGAGCCTGTTGTGCTCAGCTTCATGCTCTGTTGGTCCTTCATGAAGTCGAGCGAACCGGGCATGGTGCATCTAAGCCACTGTGGGCCGTTGCGGCAATTATCAGGAATCGCGCCAGACAAGCAAGCTACCTTGCAAAGAGTCACAAGACGCTGCTTTGAGGAAGGGCCTGCAACTTCCTAGCTTGAAGAAAGATTATTTTGAAGCCAAGCAGGTTAGGCTACTTTTAGCGGGATCTTCGGCACCAGTCAGAATATGAGCGCCTTGCAAGGGAGATGGTTGGCAGTAGTTAACGTAAGTAGCGCCGAAAACGGTTCATGATGTTCTTTGCATAGCCTGGCAGACCCAAGTTTACGTGAAGCAGACTGGTGTGCAGGCAATGCTGCCCAAGGGCGGTGACGCCAAGAGCGGGAAAATCGCGCTGGATGCCACGCTCAGAAATGTAAGAGCCTCAGTGCTGCTGTCGCCACAGATATATAGCCTTTCGCGGTGGGTCGATTCGGTGCAAGAGCCATGAACAAATGCTTGTGATGGATGCAGCTCTGTGGGCCAGAAAATCCACTCATGTGCGTCCTGAAAATTGGCAACTGGCGAAGCTCATTTGCACGTTGCAACATCTCGATGCATGGAGGACTTGTCGAGCCCTCTGTCTACTGTCAATTGCTCTCCATGGAACACGCTTGGATACAAACACTGGTGAACAGCAGATCTCACAAGAAAGTGTTGATGCTGTGCGCTGGCCCAGAAACTCTTACAGGTTCTAACGCTCATCATATAAAACGAAGCCACTGATCCTGCCAGCCCGATCCCTGAATCCAAAGAAGCCGCATGTAGCTGAGCAACTGCAAATGCTCACACAGTTCAGCAGCCTCTAGATTTGTGGCTAAAGCCGCTTGCCATTTTTGGGTTGAACCCTCGAAGAGCCTTTGGCAGCTACGCAATGCTACGCGTGTGTCACCGCCAGCAGGGAAGTGCAGCAAGCATTATTTGACCGAGGCAGTTGTCTACCAGAAGATCAGGAGAGAAGAGGCAGCCAAGAAGCTCAAACCCGAGGCATGTCAGAAGCCAAACCGTAGGCCGCAGGCAGCACGTCCGCTTGAGCATTCCCGCAGGACCAGCGCAATGTTTACGTTGAGCGGAGTGACATCTGGGTGAAAAAGATGGCCCGCAAGGTGGGTCAGAGAATGAAGGCAGCCTTGCAATGCTCCGAAAATTCCAAGTTGTTAGGCCGGGGCTTTGGTAATCTTTGTCGTTGACGCAAGCGGCCACATGCTCAGATTCCCGGATCTGTTGCAGGGAATTAACATATTGCCGAGCTGACAGATGGTCGCAGGCTCCATGGCCCTGAATCGCATGCAGAATGCGAAGGGAGCTGTGCTTCGCTTGCTTGAAAACGCATACCAGAATCGCGACCAGGCAACGCTAGAATGGCCTTGCGGTTCGTGATGAGTTCTTTCTTGCCAGGTGGCCCTCATCCCATGCCGCGGCATTTCAGCAGAGGCTGTGATGAGGGCGTAAATTCAGCCACATCATATCGCATGAGCATGCAGATCCATTGGGAGCGCTTCCGTTCTATGGGCGGTTCGTAGACAGTTCGAAATCATTCGGTCCCATGTTGTGCAGCCGTCATCAACCGCACGATTTCCGTGCTTCTGCCTAGATGCAGGGTTGCTGGGCACCTTGCGACACCTGGTGGGTGAAGAGGATATCTTCACACGACGTTACATGTACAACATATACATGCAGAACTGGGAAGGATCATGAGAGTGCAACTCATGCTGACATGTCACGCATCAGTGCATCAGCCATACCTTGTTTGGCCCCAGTTTTACACAGTCCTAGCCGGGACAGCCATCACAGCTTTCAGGCCTTACAAGCTTGGCCCTTTTGCACCAATGTCACCTTGTTTTGATGTAGGAACGGTGCAGCGGCAGAATTTGGACATTAATTCTTTCTTGCCCCAAAGGTCTTCCCACAAAAAGATTGCAAATGCAATTTCGGCCATGTTCAGCGTCGAGTAAGTGCGTCGCGCAGCGTGATGACGGGGTGCCGAAAGAATTGCCCACTGCCCACCGTGAACCGCTTGATCCCGGCGTTTCTCTGCCGGGGCTGGGACTCCGAAGACTGAGCGAAGAATTTCTGACTCTCTCTGAACTCCGACTCGGTGCCTTTGGGTTGTCCAAGCGAGGCTGGCGGCCCATCTGGCCGCTGGCCGATCCCGAAGCATAGTTTCCATCAGGACAGATGGTGCATACCGGGTGCCACAACTGAAAAGCGCACCTCATCATGTTCTTCTAGTCCGAGCATCCTAAAGTTGGGAACCCCAAGAAGATGGGCGACTAGGCATGACCAGGCAAGGAGGTGAGGAACAACTGGCCGCAAAACCAGCCCACTGCCTTTGGCTTTATTGCCCTCGTGATGTCCATCTTGTAAACATGACTGTTTCTCGTGCCTCTTGGTCGTATCTTTTTCCTTCTCACTCCCTGTTTGTCTCAAGGTACAGAGCGCACACGCACACACTTAGAAGCCACAAGGGCACAATATATCCATTCGCAAGAATTATGCCAACTCATGCCAACTTGACTCCATCACATGCCAACTTAGAATGTATTACTTGATTCGCAGCTTCGGCAGCCAGCAGCGAGTGAGTCTGCAGGTACACCTGGATGATCAGTCCAGGCTTCCCTCTCTGGTACCCAGCTTTCATTGGACAGGGTGAGTACCAGAGAGCCCTGCCCCCCTGCTTGAAAAAAGGCAAACGAACGTGTGAGTTTGGGTGCCCACACACACGGTAGCCTGTGGGGCACTGTTTAGGGCTGATGGTGGTCTTCACAACTAAGTGGATTTGGTTGAGTGGACTGCAGTCACAGAACAGGTCACTTGCTGCTGAGCACTCGCACAATACTGTCGCAGCACTTGCAGGGCTATCAGGGCTCTCACGCGGGACAAAGTAATTAAACCAACCATGGTGTAGGGATAGGGCGCACAGCACTGTTGCAGCACTTGCAGGGCTCCCACGCAGGAATACGCATGACAAAGTGGTGCAGCTGTTGCAGGGTTCTCACGCGCGATGAAGTGGGTAAACCAACCACAGAGCAGGGATTGGGTCGGCACATGCTGCATTTTCAAAAACTTGGCACTGCACAGTTGCGTTGATCAGGGGTGCCCCTTTGGAGTAAAAAAAGTGCTGTCAAGGCTGTGCGCTGCCTCTGCCTTTTTGACTTACTTGTTTCCTTTAGCTCCAATACTGGTTAAAAATGCATTGTGTCCCTGATAATTATAAGCATAACTATTTGTTGTGGCGGGCCTTTGTTGCAGGTGGCCTGGCTTCCTATTCAAATCCCTATCTAAATTGGCTGCTAATCTACAGGACAATTCTGCGATCCTGGCCTCCAAACCTTGACTAGCCGCACGGCAAATTTAAGTCCTGTGCTCCTTGTTTTCCCTTTAGATGTTCCTGAACTTGACAAGAAATTCTCACATGCTGGGCTCTGGCTTTTGTATTAATATATAACTCCTTTACTAAATGTGCTTGGAATTCAAAAAAGAATTCTCTGATTCCGGGCCCCTGACTTTCTGTATAATGTAATCCTGTAATATCCTGTGCTAAAGTGGTTTCGGATTGAAAGGACACGTCTCTGATACTGGCTCCTTCTCTCTATGTAAAACGGTACTGGGTTGGCTGCGAATTTAAAGGATAATGCTTTGATCCTGGCCTTCTTATTTTCTCTAGACAAAGCCCTCAGTAAATGAGCGTCAAATTTCAAGATAGATTCTCGAGCCCGGGTTTCCTCCCTTACTAAGTGTGCTTAGGATTCAGTGAGAAATTCCCAGATCTTGGGCTCCTGCCTTTGTATAAAGCATATATATATAATGTGCTTCGAGTTGATGGGATTGACCAGGACCCATTAATACGACTACTTAAATGACACCGATTTACAAAAACAACCCAACTCATGTAATTATGAGATATAATTACATCATGTGGCTTCATCCCGTTTAAGATTACTTTGAATAAGTCAATTAAGAGGCCCGTGAAGCGCAACCCTAACCTGGATCTTGCATATGTTTGAAGATGGAAGATGCCAGGAATTCTCATTTGTCGGTCACCGCTTTCAGGCGTTTTTTGAGTGATCGCACCGGCTGAAAATCTTCATGGAGAAGGCCAAATTGACCGCTATTTACAAATTTGTTGATAAATTATCTTGCGCAACGAGATAGCAAACCAGGAATCACGTTTTCTCGTAGCGAACGGCAACCATGCTACCAAGGTATGCATTGCAAGGCTACTGTCTCAAGTGTTCGCTTCACAGGTATGTCCTGCGCTCCCCCTCTCTACACGGCGTGCTCAACAAATTACAGTGGCTTATTCATGTTTTCATCTATCACTAACCCCTAAAGCATCCGACAATGGTAGGTCCAGGGGGGCGGAAGCAAATATTTAAGTAAATGAACATATATATATATATACATACATACATACATACGTAAAGCGATGCGCACACCTACTGATGGGAAGTATGGGGGAGTAAGAGTGGTAGGGTATGGAGATGTCCATGTACTGTATGTGATAGGCGATTTGGAGAGCGTATGGGTATATCTATGATGAAATTGGAGAATTGGGAGGGAGAAGTCCGTGCAAGAAATGTAATGGTGAGGGAAGTCTATCTCAAAGACCACTTGAAGGAAACCTTCTATGTGAAATCCCAAAAACGACAGGTTTCTATGTGTCGGGATGCCAACTCAAGGAAACTTTCCATGTGACAGAAGGAAAAGGGTGTTAATGTGGGGGCCTGATGAGTGTAGGGGGGGGCACGCCCCAAACGAAAATGGCAGCCTATTTAGTGATGGGGGGGGTACCCCCCCAAACGAATCTCGATCCTAGGTTTGAATTGAAGAAATTCAATTGGAACCTTAAAATCCGGAGATATGAGGTTTGAAGCTCTGGAAACTTGAGGTCCTGGAAGCTTGGCTTTTAAATGCTGAGCCTTTAAAAGTACAAGGTTTTTGCTTTCTGCTATTTTTAGGGTCCTCCGATTTGACGGATAATTGAGGCCCCCCGAAACATTCGTGAAATGAGGCTCTGGCCAGCTGCTGGATTACCTACCCCCTTGGGAAACATGATTGCTAGGCCTCCTCGAATAAGCGGTCTCATAAGAAATCGACGGTTTTGGACCTGGCTTGGAACCTTAAAATCCGGAGCTTTGAGGCCCTCAACATCCGGAGGTTTGAGGTTCTGGACGCTCTGGACAAGGGGTTCCAGTCCAATTAATAAAGGGCAGATTGGAGTAGGATCCTAAACTAAACACTTCGCACAATTAAGGCTCCCCACACTAATCGGGATCCAACATTATCCTAAATAGGATGCCATAGGAAAAACCAATAATTTTGATGGTAATTGGCACTTGACATCTTCGCTTGGCCACCTCCGTGCACATGAGAAGTGAGAAGATTGTATTGCACTTTTATGTAAAGCAAAGAATGCGTTGCAAACGATTTCCATGAAGGCCGGCACATGAGAACTTTTTCAAAAGCTTCACAAAGTAACTCCCCGACAACTCACATCCTTCAGTACGGATTTCATTTGTTATACTACGGTGGTCCTGCACTTTTCCAAATACCTATCCTGTAAATCCTACATCATTAATTAAGCGCGTCAAGAAACACCGGAAAATTGGGTCCCCGCAGCGTTGTATTCTCTCTCCTATTTCATATAATCTCCATGGCTATCAGGCATCAGCGGGGTCTGAGGCACATGGGGGCACTACTTCGTGGCAGTTGTCGTTCTGGATTTTGAGCTTTTCGTCGCGGCCAGAGGTGTCAACAGCTACAGGGATCAGACAGGTCAGGGGCGTCATCCTCGCGACAATTTTTCGACACTTTTTGTCGCGTATGTCTACAGTTACAGGGATCGGCCGGGTAGGGGGCGCCATCCTTACTTAGGACTGTCGGGTAACGAAAGATGCGGCCTGTGCGTAACCCGCGTGGACCCGTTTTTTGTGTGCATTTGCGGCGCTCTAGTGGATGAAGGCCCGGCGAACGCACAAAAAACAAAGTCAACCTGGGAACCCAAAAGCCATTCCGCTTAAAAGCACTGTTTTAGCTTTTTATTCGACGGCATGTCCACCCGGACCACCCGCGCTGCATCCCTTCCACGCGACCAGCCTCCCGAGCTTTTGGCGTGCCTTCGTGAAGCAACCTGTGCTTTTTTGGTCTGCATTCGCGTAACGTGTCCTACCCCTAGCAGGAATGCGGAACCAGAACACGAAAAATAAACGCCGAACGGAAGGCACAGCCTAACACAACATTTCGACCGCACAGCGTGCAGCTTTTCGGACTTTCATCTAGATATCCTGAGTTTAATTCATTCCAGTCCAATTTCATGGTCTCGCGGGCGTACACAATTTACGGGAGGACCCCAATTCAGTTAAAGCGGGCCGTGCAAAAAAATCATTGGTCAGAATCCTTTTTGTAAAGGCCTCCCATAGGATAGATTGTTTCTGATCGGATGACGATGCACCCGTTCCTTGTGACATGATTCATTTTCCTATTCCATCTTGACTACTCAGCAAATAAAGGATGCAAATACATGCAAAGTGCGCTCTAGGAATGTCGTCTGGATGGAAGTCATAAAAGCCTCAGAACCACTTGTTCAGAACTGAGCACAGCTGACCCATCGTTGTGAAAGAAATCGATAGGTCCTAGTTTTATTTGCTTTGCAATGCAGCAATCCTTTGTCTGTTGTTGAGAAAGGAGCAGATTTTGTATTAAGTCATTCATGAATCATCTATTCTTGAGGTAGATTCGTCTGCATGCGGTCTTTTCACAAAAAAACGCAGAAAAATAATATACTTGAAAACAACAGAAACTTGTTGATTCCAATGAATTAGACCTCTTTTCAGGACATTGTAAAAATGTAAGATGGATTTGTTAAGACTACATTCGTTGTCTAGCCTTCTAAGAAGCAACCATGGGAGATCAACAAGATCCTCAATACCTTTGAGTTTTTGGTAACCCCTCATTACACTTGAGATGGGAAAACGCCTCTCTAGTCTCTAATATCAAGGGGGTTACTCTGCATCTTCCAAAAGTCATCCCAGTTTCACACAGTCTTCCAGGATTCTCGGCTTCCGGCCTCCTCCTTCATTATTCGGGGTGGTTTTGCTAAAAGGGGAAGGGATAGTTAAGACCAGCAGACGGCGTGAAGAACGCTCACATACAAGTTTTTTTTGGCTACTAGAGGAAGGGCAGGCATTTGCTGTAACTTTAGTCAAGCAGGAAGTGCTTTGAAAGCAGGTTCTCTTGGAGCACCTTTTGCTTAGAAACCGACACCATATTCATCCGCCTGGCTTGCACATCAGAAAGAACCTTGCTTTACTCTCTTTGTTTTAGCAACACGTGTCTCACCTGACCATAGTCCCCTCTCAATCCTTTCAGTTATTGGTTTGCTTGCAGGTGCTCGTGCAGCCCACTTCGTCTGTGGCACGTGCCAGTGGAAGCATGAAGGCAAGAGAATTCCACGTTAAAGCAGCATTGTTTAGCAGCTACCCTGTGTATTTGCAACGCAGCATGTCCAAATCCTGGGAGCTGCATTTGTTTACTTTTGAAGCTCAAATTCGATTTGCTCTGCAGGTCTTGCCATGCGGTGGTGGTACTCCGCTTGCGCATGCGCTTTCACAGGCAGGTTCGCTGTACGGCGGCATCCGTTGCTCTGCTTTTCCTACGAGGCCAAACAAAAGCACCCTATGAGAGGCAATCATCCTCGGAAGTAATGCGATGAAGAGTTCTGACGTTGGGCAGGCTGCACGTGGGACGGTTGGTTCAGACCAAGCATTCTGCGTCATACGTACATGTAAGATTCCTGCAGGTTTGTTGCGTGGCCATCACCGATGGCCGTGCAAACGTCCCCTTGGCGGTGAGCGAAGGGGATCAGAATGCCCTGGACGGCGGGGGTCGGGCAGTGCAGCTCTTTTGCCATCTCAGCTCATGTTCATGCAGAGAGGCCAGCTTGCAGATTTTTTCGCCCTTGAGGCATGTAAACATTAAGAGCAGCTGCAAACCAGGCCATCCAGCACAGGTTGTCAGATGCATACATGCAAGGGAGAGTGTTTGCACCTCCTTTCTGAAGCTCAACTACGTTCACATGGCCAGAGACTTGCGTAAAGGCAGGTGTGAATGCTGCCATTCTGGCAGACGTTCGAGTGTATGGATACGTAGATGGCATGATAGTCTGTACACGCACATGCTCGTCTTTCTATGGCTCTACAAGTACCTATTACACGGAACTAGACACAGATGACAGTCCGGCTCAACCAGCTGGGTCGTTTGACATCCTTTCCTGCTACACATACAGGCATAATTGTTGTGTGAAGAGGTTTCTCATGTCTTGCAGGTTCTCACTTTCATGATCATCCCGCCAGTGCAGTGACGAGTTGATTAACCCGTCTCGCTGTTTTTGCTGCTGGGTGCGTACTTATGATTTCTGCTGGTGTGTCAACATTGGTTCCAGTGAGGATGAGAATGGCAAGATGAAGAAAGTCCCCAAGGAAGATCTGCAGGATTGCGGCCGTTGTCCTTCTGTGTGGGGTTTCTTTCTGAGACGGCCGCTCCATCAGGAAGAAGCCTACGTTTTAGCAGACAAGATGAGGGCCCTGGGTCATGCGCTTGGATCAACACAGGTGCAGTTTTCGGGAGCAAAGCCCAGCATGAGCCATGCCCATGCCATGCCAGATGGCTGTGCTCCGTTCATTACAGTGCCAGAGGGCAGTACTCGCACGGCCTTTCTTGGCAAGGCAGACGAACGTAGAGGAGATTTGGTGGAGGTGTGCACCAAGTGAGGGGGGCTGAAGCGCAAGCCGCAGCCTGTATGGAAGGCATAACATCTTCTATTCGTTCGCCCCTGCTCAGAAGCTAATTTTCTCTGAAGAGAAGAATTTCTAATTTGGCAGCCCCAGCCACTCGAGAGCATGTCCACTTCTCGCAGGTCTTGGGATTCGGAGGATGTGCAGCACCATGTAGTAGATATAGTAGCTAGACGAAAACCTTCGCATTCCTGGCCCAGAGCCAAGCAACCCCTTAACATGATGCTGTAGCAGATGCAGAAGCAGGCGGCATATCAGGATGAGGGTGCATGCGCAGACTTTCTAATAGAGGCTGGATTGAAAAAATCCTACCGAACGTCAGGAAAACAGCTATGAAGTGCCGTGATTCGTGCGTCTTGCAAGGAACGGGGTGCCAGCTTGCGTGGTTTGTAGCCATCTTCAGGAGCATGCTGTATCTATATGGGGAAAGTGTAGCAACAGGCTTGATGACAGGCGGGAGAGGCCTCCTTGGCCAACAGCAGATTTGTCGAACAAGAGGCGATTGTATTCCAACATCCACTTGTTTCGGACACCTAGCCTTTCAGAAATCTACTCGTAGCACGTGATTCAGGTACAGAGCAGGCTTGCTAGGACACAAAACCCGATGCCGAGGTTTCAAGTTCCTCCTCATTGATACAGAGAACAAGTATGTTTCATCGGGAGTTGCCAAGACTCTTGTTGACCGCGCCAACGGAAGGTGGCTGGTCGTTTTTGTTTTGCAAAGTGCTGTCTTGCGCATTTGCTGTTGGGCTGACCTTTTTGCATCATGGATAGGGTTGTTGATGCCATGTGTTGATGTGACGATCTTCTGTGAGGTATTACTACCTGCCGCGAGCAGATGACAAAGCAATTGCTGCTAGGCTTGACTATTCCCGCAATCTTTGGCTGTTGTTTGCTGCGATGGGCCCAGGCTGGCATAGCCAGTGACGCCATCAATGAGATGAAAGCCAGATAGCGCTTGTGTCAGGTGTGCTCCCCATGCTCGTGTAACTTGTAGCGGATGCATCACACCGCGTATGCCATGCAATCCATCAGGTGCGCAGGACACTCTATCCAACACCATGCAAAAAAGAGTCACTTTAGGACTCAGGTTATATTTCGGAATTTAAAGGTTTACGTGCATGTTACCTTCTTGTTGAATAGACGTGCCTGAGGGGCACATGAAGGGGCTCAAGCAGTCGTTGATGGAATGAGCTTGACAGGGGCTGACATTTCCAGTGCTTGAAAATGCTCACTTCTTGACTGTGAAGGTAGTCATCTCTCAGGTCTTGTCGGCAAGGGATTGTCAGATAGCGTTGTAGCAGCACTCGACGCAGCACAGCTGACACGGTGATTTTTCCAATGTGGTAGCGTTGGAGTTTTGCATCAAGTTTTTAACACATGACTCCCACATTGAGCCGCTTCGCGACTCATTGCCACGTCTCGAGCGGAAGAGCGCAGCATTGGATCCAGCTTTGCCATACACTTCTCGTCTGAGTCACAGCGGATCTTCTGAACCACAGCGGAGCGTGTCATGCTCAAAGGGCGCGAGATGGATGTTCTTCATGATAGTCACGGCGCACGTTGAGGGGCTGGTAGCCTGGTAGCATTGCTATGCGGACGTTGTCAGCATGGCTGTTAGGCAATGAGCCGGATGACATTTGTTGCTGTGTACGAGCCATGCCAGCCATTTGACTTTGGCGAAAAGGTAGCTTCATGAATAGGCTTCCGGTCAGCATCATGATGGAATATTAATCTTTTTGGCATGATGTTGCCCATATGGCGGCCGGTCTGACGCTTGAATGGATCGTTCACCCAGCTACAAGAACAAGCTTGGGACCCCTGAGTGAGGCGTGACACACGATTGGACATTTACGAGGCCAGACTAGCGCCAGCGCATTTGACGTGCCTTCTCGTTGCGAATTCTGTGCAGGCGCCGCAGGGAAGCAACCATCAAGAAAGGCCGCCATCACACACGTGCCGAGAGGGTTCCTTATTGGATCTTGTGTTTGATTAACACCCTCAGGGG